CGATGTGGCGTCACGCTGCATATTATTAGAAGCTACTGTGCAAACAATGAGGGAGATGATCAGAGAAAATATGCTGTAAATGCTGCGCAGGGCCGTACTGAACGTTTCCATATACACATATGCATAAATACCACAGACTGCTCTGGACATCAAAAGTAGAAAGTTAGATTTCATAAAAGTTTGTTTGTAATGAATGTTTAGCACTGAAATGAGTTGATCAGTTTAATATAAATGGATAATCTCGCTAAGCGACGGCTGCTTTCGCTCATACTGCAAATAAATAACGGAAATGTGAAAAACTTTCAATAAAAATACTTCAGAGTTGTTTAGTGAGCTCCTAGTAGATTATAAGCAGTCAATATCTTACCTGCAGCAGGTAACTCTCTGCATCCCAGAAGCTAAAGCTACCGGCTAGCAGATTTCCAATCTCAACAGAATCATAGCAGTTAATGCTAACTGAATATTATCAACCTTTTAAAATGTCATCTTTGCATTGAGTAGATATTTCTGCGGAAATAGCTTCTAATTACTTACATAGGAAAGTAATGTAGGAGGCAGTGCGCCACTTAATGTCTTCCTGTGGGAAACACATAGCGGTTTCTGGTAAGTAAGTTAGTGCAAAGATCAACCAAGCAGCATTTACTTAAACCTCTGTGATCCTTTTGGTTTCCGAATCAACTTCATATGAAACATGAAGACAGTTAGCATGAACCGCTACGGCTCTCTGAGAGAGTGGAGGAGTTTCAGTTTGGTTTTGGTCAGATTAGCCGTAAGCTTCAGACTCCGGCTGAACTAAAATGGACTTAGATTAAGTTAGGATGTCCAACAGGCGGTCCGGGGGCTGTTTTCTGCACTTGGACTGATTTTTGTGTGGCCCCAACTGCAGTTCAAGAATAACAACAAATTGCATTGAAACAGGTGTTTGATGTTCATGATCAGGTAAAATTACAGTTTTCTTACAATGGAAAATCTTAAGTACAACACAAAGTATAACTTTTGTTTATAAACAAGTTTTCATAATAAATAGAATCACATTCATCCAGACTTTCACTGAAAAACCAACTTTGCTGCACCAAAATCAGCTTTTATTGAATTTATTGGGCTTCGCTAAATGTTAGCTAGCATTTTGAAAGAAAGTGACCCAAATCCTGTCCTTATAACTAAGGATCAATATCATCAATCGAGTTCAGAGGAGTTTGAAAACTAACTTTTTATTTGAACACAGTAGATGTGAAAAATCTCATAAGTTTCGGATCTACGATGAATATAAAAGTAAAATATCAAACTACTTAATTTGCCTGATTTTGGTCAACTTGACAATAAGTTTGGATTAAATGAAGACAAAGTGAGAGTTTTCTGTTGCAGGTGAGATTAGCTGCCTAAATCTCTCTTCATAACCGTACTTAAAGAACCCGGTAGAAAAGCTGCAGATGAATCGGTTTCCTGTGAAGTCAGGTAAAAGTTATACGCCCAGGAACAGGCGCTGTTGAAGCACGTCGAGCGCTACTGGGCAGACAGAACATTGTGCTCAAAAATAAACCCCACACGAAACCCAGGTGGAGATCGTTCTGCTGCACAGCTCAGCGTCTCCAGCAGAACAGGAACTGAATCAGGATGTTTTTCTACGTGTATCTTGTGTTGGAGCCCTTTAATGAACTGTACATGTCTTCTGAAACAAAACGCAGCTGTGCCTCGGCTCGTTGCTGGACGCCATCGGAACTATTTACAGACATCGTTTTCTGATTCAGGATGACATCAGACTCAATCCGTGCTTTCAAATCTTCAGCGGAAATAAGACAATAGTCAGAAAATTACCCAAGAAAACAGGAGCTGACCAATCCGGAACCAGCAGAGTCGGTTCAGGAATTCATTCATCTGAAAAACGCTCAGACTGAACAAACGCGAATAATTTGAAGCTGGTTATGAACTGAACCCTCCTGGTCTGAGTTTATTAACGACAGCAGCAAAGTCATGAAGCCCCTGGACATCAACCCTGCTCTGACTGCAGCAGCTGCAGCAGCTGCAGCATCATGAGTCAAAACTGCACCACCAGCTGATCGACGGCGGCTGATTTCAGGGCAGCTCGATGCTTTGTTGCCTCTTTCAGAGCCAAACTCAGACAGAGGAAATCTGTGCATCTCAACTGGATCTTATATCAGACCAAAATTATTCATACTCCTGTCAGAGTTTGAGTTGAAATGATTTTAATTTAACTTTGTGTGTGACAGGCTGTGAGGCGGCGTTTTTCTCTAACATGAGATGAGATCCTGACCATCACCCTAATCTCTCACTGACTCCATCAGATCCAATCAGAACTCTGACTGGATCCTCTAAAACATCAACATTACCTCCAGTCAAAAGAAAATGTGCCTAAACAGCTAAAATTAGCTTCAGTTTAACTTGTTTCTGTGACGCGATTGATAGAAACCATGAATAACAGATTAAATGCTACATAATGCTCGTCGATCTTTGTGCTGGTTCATCTGCAGGATCAGAGGAGAATCAACAAATGAAGGTGAAATTTCCCGTTGTTCACTTCATGCAGCGTCTTTTCTACCTGAGCATCATGATGAACGCCGGCAGACATGGCCGGGTCCAGAAGCCGCTCGGCTGCGGTTCTGACCCAGACGGAGCAGCAGATCCCGGCGTTCTGCCCGGTTAGATCTCCGTGATCTAGCGATGCGATGCAGCAATCGTCGGCAGGTTTCCGCCTGGCTGCCTTCAGCCAATTGGTTCTGACATGCACATCCAGCGACCTCTGACCTTTCTGCTCCATCTGGAGCAAACTGAGCTGCGATCCGTCAGGGAATCAGGTAATAACCCCGAGGATCAGAGATTGGATTGACTTTGTTCAGTTTGGTTTGGAAGCTGCAGATGGATTTATGCAGCTGAATGAGCAGCTGCCATGGGAACATCAGGTTGTTTTTCATGTTTCTGTGCTGAAACGCCCTCACTCAGTAGTAAAGCATGGTGGTGGCTGCATCATGAGTCAAAACTTACAATAAAACAACAGATTGATTCAAAGTTTTTAGCTTTTTGATGTCAGATGGACGTTTGCATGGATGGAAGCAAACGGAGCAACGAGTAGCTTCACCTGAAGGACATGAGTGCTTTTATTTTGAAAATCTGACTCTATGCTCTGTTAGATGACCTGCAAAGAAGGAGAAACGATCTGAGAGTCTGAATTAGATTCATGGAGTCTGGAGTCGAATCTGATTGGTCTGGATGCTTTCGGTCCGTGGAGATCAGAGATGGATTCTCACCGCCGTCGAAGCAAAGTCGCATCGTGTTCAAAGGGACAGGAAGTCGCACAAAAGTGAAGTAAAATGATACTTTTTAGCTCACATTTCTCAGGCAGTTTCTCGTGTTTCTCCGTATAAAGAATAGAAACGAATCAGAAGAGAGAAAAGCTGCGAATTAAAGGTCTGAGCTGCAAAACTCAAGATCTGGAGCTGCAGTCTGTCTGGACAAGGAGCAGCAAGCAGAAAAATAAAAACCCTCCTGCCAGGGGCAAAAATAAAAACCCCTCTGGTTCCTCTCGGTGTGAATATGGTTTTCGTTCTGCAGTCGTTTTAAAGTGATGTAACTTTTGTAAAATGTTTTTTTTTGTATTTGTTGAAACGTGAGTTTAATCTGAGACAATCTGTGGAATGATCCAACTCCTCTGCCTCCCAGTGCAAAGTAGAAACAACCAGTCAGATTCAGGGGGCGGGTCTTAGCGCTGTCAATCATGGCCATCTAGACGTCGTGAATGTTGTGACTGCTAACAGTAGTTAGCATAGCCACAGCTGACAACAGATGAACAGTGAGTTGTTTCTCCACTACCAGCACATTTAACAGCGACTACATACGAATGATTGGCAGCGGTAAGCCCCTCCTCCTGGCTCTGATTGGTTTTTGGTGCATTTCTTGCGAAGGCAGTAGCAGCTCAGGGTGAAATGTTGGAGATGGATCTTTTCACAGATTATCTGCGTGGTGGTGAAGTTCTTCGTAAAGTGACGTCCTGCAGCTTCAGCACTGTTGTGATCCTCCTGGTGCCGTCGGTCGGGTCCCAGGTGTTGGTCATGTGACCCTGGAGGGCAGCAGCGTGTTGCACAGCGACGGTCAGAAACATCCTCCTCCTCTCCGACCGTGTGATTGGTCGGCTCAGTGTCAGGTGATCCTCTGCAGCTCTGATTGACGCTGCGCTGGCAGCAGCGTCAGACTGGATCAGGTTTTTTGCTCAGCAGATTGTCACATGCTCTGACTTCCTCCGTGTCTAAAAGGAGATTTTAGCGCCTCTGTTTGCTTCCTCCCACCTGAACGGCGCTGCTGTTTGTGCTTCTGCTTTCTCACCTGAACTTTTCTTCTGCTTTAACCACGGAGACGGAAACGCTCTGGATGGGAGAGCGGGAGCTGCCGAGCTAAAATGGAAACATGCAAACAGGCTTGAAGAAGCCCTTCGAAGATTTGGCCTATTTGTCACACTCACGGGTTTATTTTTATATTTGAGTCATTTAACCCACATAGATTTTTCCAGATGGTTTTTCTCTCTTTCTGCGGGTAAAACTGGAGTTCAGAGAATGATCAGATAGAAAATAAGAGGTTTAGAAAGGATAGGACAATTCTTTAAAAATATTTTAGAGTTTTTGCAAACATTAAATGGCACAAAATGAGCCCAGCTGTCTGAAAATGAGTCTTTCAAGCAATGAAAGGTTTAAATTTATGTTAGCATGGCGCCCGCGTAGCATGGCGCCCGCGTAGCATGGCGCCCGCGAAGCATGGCGCCCGCGTAGCATGGCGCCCGCGTAGCATGGCGCCCGCGAAGCATGGCGCCCGCGTAGCATGGCGCCCGCGAAGCATGGCGCCCGCGTAGCATGGCGCCCGCGAAGCATGGCGCCCGCGTAGCATGGCGCCCGCGTAGCATGGCGCCCGCGTAGCATGGCGCCCGCGTAGCATGGCGCCCGCGAAGCATGGCGCCCGCGTAGCATGGCGCCCGCGTAGCATGGCGCCCGCGTAGCATGGCGCCCGCGAAGCATGGCGCCCGCGTAGCATGGCGCCCGCGTAGCATGGCGCCCGCGAAGCATGGCGCCCGCGTAGCATGGCGCCCGCGTAGCATGGCGCCTGTGTATTTCAGCTTCTCAGAGACGTATCTTCTTACAAATGTTTTAGTTAAGCTTTTCAAAAAAATCTTTAGAAAATGTTATTTTGAATCAGTTGCACAGAAAGCACATCGTCACAGGATCGGGACAAAGTTGCAGTTTTTAGAAGCATGAACAATCATTTCAGATCCTCATCACATTTTTTCCCCAACGACTTTTTTTCTTATAATTTTAATGTTATTCTGCAAATTTTGTAACTTTATTCTCATTATTTAAAACTCTTACTTTAACGAAAGTTTAGTGAAACTATTAAGGCATCAGATATTCTTCTGGGAGGATAAACAGTTAATTATTTTTCTGTTTACATATTAAACTGTTATTATTCAGATTTTATCTGATGTGTTTTCTCCTGTTGGTTCTTCTGTTTTTAATCTCAAACTCCATTTTATTTTTGTTCTTTTAATCTCCACAGATTCTCTATTTTACATTTTTTGCCCGTTTTTGTTTGATATTCTGTCTCCATTAACGACTGGTCAGCTTCGATTGTTTTTAAAGTTCCTCAATGAATAAACTTTGACTAGGTCATTATGGTTGAAAACATTCATCCTGTTTAGTTGTCGTATTAAAACATTACAGATTATTCAAACTGAAGGATCTCAGGAATTAAGTGGATTTAATCTCAGATTAAATCTTTAAAAACCATTTGAATTTTCTGTTTTTGTTGCATCTGCCTCTAATCTGAAACCCATCATCATCATCATCATCATCATCATCACCTCCCTGTGCGTCTGCTTCAAAGCTCTCAGGACAAATGGATGTGAATCATGAGCGAACGTTTCTTCCTCCAGACCGTTTGGTGTTTGGTTGAGGAAGCCTCTCCTAAAGGCTTCTGGGTAATAACTCGGTTTTTCTCCGTTACCATGACATCGCTCTTCATCTGCGATATTGCTATAAGGTTTGGTTTCTGACTCTCTAACGTTGGACATCGTCACAGAGGAAACAACTCCAGCATCGGCACAAATGTACAAACATGGCCTCAGGTCCGTATTGTCTGTTGTCAGCGTCTGAAGCGATCTGATTGGTTGGCTCTGACGACAAAGCTCCGCCTCCTCCGCAGGAGGCGGCGTCTCCAACCAGAGATCATTGGCGTCTCCTCTCGCTCTCACACAGTCACCTCCGTCTTGCTGTTGGTCACAAAGTAGGGCTGCGTGGGCAGGAAGTGCTGGCTGTGGCTCTGGCCCCGGCTGCCGTGCAGCTGGTTGGGCTCCAGCACCGTGCACTGGGGCCTCTTGTGCCCGTAGCTCTTCCTCCTGCCCACCGTCTCCGTCCCATCCCAGCCCTTGATGCCAAAGCCCGCCGCGTGCCCGGCGATGGTGTTGGAGCCGTAGGCGAACGGCCGACCCATGGTGGCCGAGCTCGAGCCAAAGGCGCTCTCGACGGCCCTCGACATGCCGCTTGGCATCGTCCCCACCATGTGCGCCAGGGAAGAAGCCCCGAGTCCTGGCGCCTTGCTACTGTGGGTGTGTGTGTGGGCGCTGTAGAAGCTGTGGGCCGCGTGGCCGCCTTTGGGCTTTTGGCCGTTGGGCTTGAGTCCGCCGCCCACAACGTGCCGCTCCGTCGGCAGGGTGGAGACGGACGAGATGCCGGGCATCTCCGTCACGTAGGTGGCCACAGGCTCTGGAGTCAGTGGACCTAAAGAGGTCATCGGGGTTATGGAGGGCATCGGGGAGAGCGAGGTCATCTGCGGCATGGACGTCATCGCTGTCATTGAAGCCATCGGCCTCATGGAGGAGTTCAAGGGGTTTGAGGTGAGGGGGTTTGACAGCATGGTGTTGGCGGCCATCGGCGGCGTCATCGACAGGTTGCCCATGGCGCTCCGAGAGTTTCCTATCGGCTGGAGAGGAAGGCCGCCTTTCGTCGGGAGCTCCACCATCAGCCGCCGCTTGTTGTAGATTTCGCCGTTGTACTTGGCAGCTGGTGGGAGAGAAAAACACAAAAATAGACTGAAGTTCAATGCCAACGAGCTGCTGAAGAGCAAATCAGAACCGCAGAACCAAAAGTAGAAGGTGCTGCTTACTGAGAGGAATCACAGAAAAACATGAAATCTGCCAGACAGAGCAGATAACACACCGGAAGCGTTTTAACTTTCAGTCAGCTTCTTCTTATCAAACTGGCCAAACGGGAGCGCAGCTCCTGCACCTCCTGCAGCTCCTGCACCTCCTGCAGCTCCTGCACCTCCTGCAGGGCCTGCAGGGCCTCCAGGGAGAGGCCGGTTCTGATCCTGGAGGAGTGAAATCTGAGGAAAAGCCAGGATGCATCTTACTTTCCTCTTAGGAAGATTAAAATGTCTCAGAGGGAGAGAAAATTCAGAGAACTGAGCCGCCTGAGGCTTTCTAGGAGCAGCTTAAAACGCAGTTATCAGGTTAGCGATTACACCTTAGCATCTCTTAAAATTCATTATTTTACCTCCTGACTGATTTATTTTAGCTTGACCTGAGGATTTCCTCTATTAAACCAAACCACCAAGCCAGCCAAGCCGGACATGCAAAAGGAATCGCCCCTTTAAGCCGGTTGCTGGTTTTCTTGCCTTTAGCAGAAATTTAGCATCACAGAAGAGAAACTTTCACCGATTCTTTGGAGAATTAATTCAATTCAGACACTTTGAAGGATTTTCCATAAACAATCTGTTAAAGTTTACATCTCAGTGTCCCAACCACATTTAAGATCTTTAGCCTACTTCAAGTCGTAAGGCAGGTTCTGTTTGAGTTCTCTGTATTCGGGTCGAGCTCCTCGAAGGGAGCAAGGAATGTTCAGTCCGCTTCAATCCGACTCCAGTCCATTTGTCTACAAAGTCCAGTTAGTTTTTTGGCAGTATGAATGCTACTTGAACTTTGACCTCTGGTCCTCCAAACCTCAGTCTGGTTCTGTTTGAATGTGAAAGCCAAGCGAACCAGAGAGCGCTCCAAAAGCAGGAAGTGGACTACAGCACAGGGCATTTTGGGTAACCAAAGCTAACATGCTAGCCTAGCGTTAGCAGCAGAAATGGCTCCTGGTCTTCAGCCAAACACTAAAGAGAAATCACTAAACTCTGACGCCTCCATCTTGGTTCATCTGGTGAAACAGGAAGTTGCTCTCAGTGTCTTCAGAGGTTTCAGTGTCGTTTCCTGCAGTGGTTGTTGGTGCAGCGCCCCCACAGGCCAGGAGGGGAACAGGCTGGTTTGGGTCAGAACCACAGCAGCTGGAGGTGGAGCAGATGTTCTGGTTCCAGTAGAACCGGGTCGACCGGACCGTCAGGAGGGAAAAATACATTGATTTAACTAAAATCAAGTGAAAAGCATGAGAGTCTTGTAAGACTGAATGAAAAACATTTGCTTAATTCATCTAGTGTTCATTCCAATTCTAAGAAAATCTGATAACTTTTTGCAGCTCTGAGGATCAACAGCAAGATCCATGAGAAATATTCCTCTAAACATTTCAGGCAGCAGATCCACAGAAATCCACACCGACAGTTTGTTGTTGTGAGCATCTTCTGCCCAGTAAGCGTGTGCGTGTGTGTGTGTGTGTGTGTGTGCGCGCGTGTGTGTGTGTTGCGTGTGTGCGCGCGTGTGTGTGTGTGTGTGCGTGTGTGCGCGCGTGTGTGTGTGGGTGTGTGTGTGTGCGCGCGTGTGTGTGTGTCGGTGTGTGTTTGTCGGTGTGTGTGTGTGTGTGTGTGTGTGTGTGTGTGTGTTTGTCGGTGTGTGTTTGTCGGTGTGTGTGTGTGTGTGTGTGTGTGTGTGTGTTTGTCGGTGTGTGTGTGTGTGTGTTTGTCGGTGTGTGTGTGTGTGTGTGTGTGTGTGTGCGCTAAGCGTCTGAGCAGTCAGCTTTAAAGCCTGATATTTATTCCTTCCTCTGTCAGTCGGCGTCACTCAGCTCCAGTCTCTCTTATCTCTGACCTTTTTGGGGCCGAGCGGCGCTCACAGTCGACTCATTTCTCCTTAGCTCCTCGTTGCCTCCCTGTCCTTGAAGATAAAGTTAACACACAGTGAGTCTGCTTTGCTGCTGTAACTATAAATCTAGTTTATCACTGTGAGCAAAGGAGCGAGGCTGCAGCCGAGGATTGTGGGAGAGGACTGCGGCGGCGCGGAAGCAGCATGTCCTGCCGAGTTGCTACCAGACCTCCTGCTGGGATCAAACCTGCTCAGGTGACAGGTGAATGAGTCTGAAGCCTTCGGCTCGGCGGTGAAACATCCTGGGGATCATGAGGAGCATGGAGCCGGCGGTCCAGGAAACTATCTGAGGGACTAATCTGGTTAAAGATCTGATTGATCCATCATTCCTGCCAAAGGTTATTTTTAAAATTAGTCCTAGTTTTCCATAAAATGTCCTGCTTCTGCAGACTCGTCCTCATGAAGCCTGATGGAACTGACTGGCCACGTCAAACATCACTAACATGTTCAAAACATTCTGTAACTAAGCAAATATGTCACACATGATTCTTCATTTGCAGTGGTGGGCACACTACCACTAACCAGCTAATGCGCTAATTATGGAGCTAATTTTAGCGCCATACTCTGAACGTATTGCAAGTTCTACAGTGAAGGTCATAAAATCTCTTTTTCTCCTGCTTGGTTTGTGACTGAAGCCGTAACGACGTCATTTAGGCAAAATCAGCAATGGGGTTAGAAAAACTCAACAACTGAAACCACGAAGGATCTGATCCAAAGAGTCACTTCCTGAAGCGCTAGCTGTGAAGATAGTGGATTAGCACAACATGACACATGGTGGAATTTAGTGCTTTAGCATTAGCTTCTGCTAAGCCCTGTGTTTGTATCATGTTTTAGCATTAGCTTCCATTGTGTGCCATGTTAGTGTGATGATTGAATGAATTGTTTATGTCCACTAGATGGCAGTCGCGAACATAGGTGATTGCATAAATGTCAAGAATAGGACAACAGAAGTAGTCAGTCATTAGTGAGACACCTGTGTGCAACTTGTATGAGCAAACGAGCCAGAGCGACTTTAATAAAAGCATCTAAGAAGAAGCACAACGTCTGGTTCTTATCAAGCACGAACAGAACATGGTGTCAGGAGTAAACTGAAGGGGTGAATTGAAAAGCCGACCATGGAGCTGAAACCACCGGAGAGCTTAAAGCTGACGGGAAACGTGGATGAAAACTGGCTGCTTTCAAACAACGCTTTCAACTGTATGTCGCCGCAATGGGTTTGGAGACGAAGCCGGAGCCAAGAAAGGTAGCGATGTTGCTGACCATAGCGGGAGTGCAGGCTTTGGAAGTCTACAACACATTTGTGTTTGATGAACCTGAAGACAAAGAAAAGTTGGACGTTGTGCTGAGTAAATTTGATGCTCACTGTTCACCGAAGAAGAATGAATGCTACGAGAGATACGTGTTTCGTTCCCGGATGCAGACTCCGCATGAACCCTTCGATAACTTTCTGACCGATCTGAAAGTAAAAGCGCAGTCATGCAATTTTGGCCTGCTGAAGGACTCGATGATCAGAGATCAGATCGTCTTTGCTGTACGTGACGGGAAGCTCAGAGAGAGACTGCTGAGAGAACTGGAGCTGACCCTGGAAACAGCTGTAAAGATGTGTCGGGCAAGCGAACTGTCTCTGCAGCAAGTGAGGACATTTTCTGAACTTTCAACAGGAACTACTTCACAGTTCAGTGATGGAGCAGCGGCAGTGGGAGCGGTGTCCTGCCACAAGAAACGACATGCACAAACCAGGCAGCTGCAAGAGGAAGCCATTATCAACTGTAAGCGCTGTGGATCAAGGCATAAAGTGAGACAATGTCCTGCTTATGGTAAGCAGTGTTTAAATTGCCGTGGACAGAATCATTTTGCAAAGCAATGCTTTAAGAAGAGGAAAGAAGAAAAGAAGAGGAATTGTGTAAACTTAGTAGATGAAACTGACCTAAGTGACACATTCTTTGTCGGTGTTGTGAATTGTGAAAATGAGTCAGAAAAAGTGCAATGTGTTGACAGAGATGATAAATGGACAATTCCTTTGTTAGTAAATGGAACCACAATTAAGTTCAGATTGGACACAGGTGCGAAGGCGAATCTCATAAGCATATCTGATATAAAAGAAATGCAAGTAAAACCTCACATAAAAGAAGTCAAGTCAGGTCTAAGAGACTATAATGGACAATCAATTGAATGCATTGGAACATGTCAGCTGAATGTAACAGTTAAAGGAACAAAACATCTTGTGTTCTTCTCTGTTGTAAAAGAGGATCGAGAATCACTTTTAGGTGATAAATCTTGTGAAGAACTTGGACTGGTGAAAAGAGTCTACCACATAAACACTGAATTTAATGAATCTAATAACCCGATTGATGCAATGCTTCGGGATTATGAGGATGTCTTTCGAGGATTAGGTTCTGTACCCTGCACATATAAGATTCAGTTAAGAGAGGGCGCGCAGCCTGTTGTTCATGCTGCACGTCGCATTCCAGCGCCACTGCGAGAGGGGTTGAAAAATGAGTTGGATCGAATGATCAGGTTGGGAGTCATTCAGAAAGTGGAAGAGCCCACAGATTGGGTTAATTCCATCGTGATTACAAAGAAGAAAAATGGAGAATTAAGAATATGCATGGATCCAAAAGATCTAAATGAGAACATCAGAAGAGAACATTATCAAATACCCACTCGAGAGGAAATAATCAGTGAAATGTCCAAAGCAAGTTATTTCACCAAGTTGGATGCATCACAAGGATTCTGGCAAGTAAAGTTGGATGAAAGCAGTACCAAGTATTGTACTTTTAACACACCTTTTGGAAGATACTGTTTTCTAAGACTTCCTTTTGGAATAAAATCTGCACCAGAAATATTTCATAGAGCAATGGAGAGGATCATAGAAGGCTTGAATGGAGTAAGAGTCTACATTGATGACATCATCATTTGGGGATCAACTGTTCAAGAACACAATGACAGATTGAGACGCGTCATGGAGCGCATACGGAAAAATGGACT